GGCTGGGAGCGGCCACTGCACTCCAGTCTGGGCATCAGAGTGAGACTCCAACTCAAAAAAATAAAAATAAATAAATAAATAAATAAATAAAGGCTTCTCAATATATGAAAAATGGGGTGATTTTTGGAAAAAGAAGTTATATAAACTCAATTTTTTAAAAAACCAACTTTCCTCGAAAGTAATTCTTAATAGTTTTTACGTTCTCTGTATAACAGCCTTTCTGGATCACTGGCCTGTGTGCCAGATGTCGATCTTAGTTTTCTTCTCTTAGAACTTAAAAAATAGCTGAGCCACATGATTCCACCCTGGATTGGGAAATAGAAAATCAAAAGAGTTCTCTATTTGACTTTTCATTTTATTTGTGTTTGAGGTTTTTCAAACTAATGAACTTTATTTAATTCATGTGAGCCATTTTTAATGTTTTTATATTTATATTTTCTTTGATATTTACATCTGTGTTATTGTGATTAAGTTACAGAGGCTTTTTTTGTTTCATTTTGTTTGTTTTGCAAAGATATTTTTAAAAAAAGACTTTGAGGGAGGATTTGTGACTAAAGTGATGGTCTGTCTTGGGGGGCGTCCGGCACAATCCCAGGGAAGACAATGTCAATTCAACTCTGTCCACCACCGTGAGAGCCTGCTCCCTTCCTCATTCCCTTCTCCCACCCAGATGGAGTGAAGGGAGACCTTCTGATTGACATCGGTTCTGGCCCCACCATCTATCAGCTCCTCTCTGCTTGTGAGTCCTTCAAAGAGATTGTTGCCACCGATTACACAGACCAGAATCTGCAGGAGCTGGAGAAGTGGTTGAAGAAGGAGCCAGAAGCCTTCGACTGGTCCCCGGTGGTGACCTATGTGTGTGATCTTGAAGGGAACAGGTAGAGAAACTGTGGTGTACTTCTTGGCTTTCTGAGGGTATCTGAGTGACACTTGGTTTTTCTGAACCAAGAATTAGCCTCACATTCCAACTTTTAAAAGCAAGGGAAATAGAAAGATAGAGACCAAAGACAAATCCAAATGAAGAATAAGAGCTAAAGAAAGTGAGAGCAAGAGAGAAAAAGAGAGAGAGAGAGAGAGAGAGAAGAGATGAGATATAGGTACATGAGTACGTATGTGTGGATTTGTGTATGTGCACCAGAGGAGCAGAAGACACAGGGAGAGAGTTGAAGAGATGGGTACTAGGCCAAGAAGAAGAACAAAGAACTTTCCAAGCCTATGGAGGTAAGGGCAGTGTGCAGGTCAGTACTACATGAGCTAGTTTAGAACAACTTCAGGCAAGAGGCTAACCCAGTTTCTTCCCAGCAGTTTTGGGGTATCAGAGCGTGCCCCTCACCCCAGTTCCAGTCAGTTGCTAGCCATCCAGGCCTACAGAACCTGGCTGTGAGTGTGACTAATGTTTACACCACCAGATATAACCAAAAGCTGACTAAGTTTTTTAAGCTGAAGTTAGCAATATAAAGAAATTATTTGAAAATAATTTATAAATCACCATCCATAAAATTAGAACTTTATATACTCAAATTCTTACACGACCACATTTACAAGTAAATTTTTTTTTTTTTTTTTGAGTTGGAGTCTCACTCTGTCGCCCAGACTGGAGTGCAGTGGCCGCTTCCGGCCACCGCAGCCTCGACCTGCTGGGCTCCGGCGATCCTTCCGCCTCAGCCTTCCAAGTAGTTGGAATTACAGGCATGCACTACCACACCCAGCTGATTTTTTGATTTATTGTAGAGATGAGGTCTCGCTGCCCAGGCGGGTCTCGAACCCACGGGCTCAGGCAATCCACTCACCTCAGCCTCCCAAAGGCTACAAGTAAATTTATGTGAATGACTCTTGTTTAAATTATTGATTTCTTCCCACACAGGAAGTTGGTAATAGCCTACTAGTCAGGGGTGGCCAGGTCTGTGATTCACTTTGTCTGCCTCTTGTCCTGATATGCCTCTTGTCTTTTATCAATTGTCCAACAGTGTCTACTCTCCTGCCCCAATGATCATCAGTTCCTGAAGTGTCATTTCTTCACTACTATGCTTATTGCTGAGACTCCACTCATTTCTTTGTAAACTTTATAAAAAGACAATTATTTCTCCTTCTAGGTTCCTGCTGACTCTGTCTACCATTTCTTATATGCTCAGAGTTTCTTTTTGTAATGCTCTTTTATCTTTCTTTTTTTTTTTAACATTTTTTCTGTCTCCCCTCACTTTATCCATTATTTAATTTTCACATGACTCTTTCTCCCTTCCCCATACCCCTAGTCCTATATTTTCCCCTTTGCTTACATGCACATATTGTGCTTTATACAACAACTTCTGTATCTTCTTGTCTTTTCACTCACAATGGGAAAGCATATGTTTTAAAACAGCCCATGAATTTTCAGGAAAAAGCTCTGATTTCCTGGCAAGACAATCTCCTTCAATAAACAAGTGTGGCCAGACGTGGTGGCTCATTCCTGTAATCCCAGCGTTTTGGGAGGCTGAGGCAGGAGGACTGCCTCAGTCCAGGAGTTTAAGACCAACCTGGGCAAAATGGCAAGACCTTGTCTCTACAAAAAAAAAAAAAAAAACTAGCCAGGCATGGTGGTATAACTGTAGTCCCAACTACTTGGAAGGCTGAGGTGGAAGGATCACCTGAGCCCAGCAATTCGAGGCTGCGATAGACATGAGCATGCCACTACACTCCAGCCTGGGGGACAGAGACTCCAACACAAAAAAAACAAAAAAAGAAAAAAACAAGTATGATTAACTTTTGGTTCATGGTTATGGAAACTAGCACTCATTCATTCATTCAACAAACTTATATTGAGCACCTGTGATGTGTCACGGTACTAACTACTGGGATAGAGCAGTGAACATGACAGATAGCCCTTCTCTCCTGTAACTCACATCAAAAGGCAGGCAAGTGCTAAATCATTTAGGGCCTTTTAGGCCAAGTGTAAGATTATGGACTTCAAGTGTTATAAGAAGGCATTAGAGATACAGACAGGTGAGGGATGAGACCCAGTTTATATTTACAAAGTGCTCTCTGGCTGCCGTGTGGAGAATGGGTGAGAGGGGTTTACCAGGGAATGAGATAAAGGAGATAATTTAAATCCAGGTGAGAGATGATGGTGACTTGGACTATGGTGATAGAGAGAGGTAGATGGTTTTAAGATTCATTTTGGAGCTGGAATGAATATTAGTTGATAATGATTGGTTATGAGGAATGAGGAGAGTAAAGGTCAAGGATGAGGTCCTTGTTCCTGAATGACAAAGAAAATTGAGATAACATACATGAATTCATGAGCATCGATGTAAAATCATGAGAGTTTGATGTAATTCCTAAAGAATATACCTGTTTCTACTCTCGTCTGGAAGTGATGGTCAATTCTTTTTTATATAATTGCACTTATAATTGATTCCCATCTATTTTGCCCGCTTTTGTTTATCTCTGAGTCAGTTTCTCTTCTGAAACTAACTCTGTCAGCTTTTATTTCTTTAATCTCCTTTTTTTTTTTTTTAAATGATCTGTTGGTTTTTGGCAGACATCTTTTTCTCAAGGTTATTAGGAGGACTCTAAACTTCGTATTCATGTTCTTACACATTGTTGATACACTGTCTTATTAGTAGTACATGTGGATTGTCAAATGCAAGCTATCAAGGTGACCCATCAGTGGTACGATTCTTCATAAAGTAGAAGTATAAATAAGAGATTTTTATCCCAATTAACATTTTTTCTATTATCCAGAGTTGCTTAATTTCACTGGGTTTATGTTAATCTTTTATCCCTTTTATCAGGCATAATACGTCTTGAAAAATCAGGTAGTATAAGTCCTCCAACTTTGTTCTTTTTCAAGTTTATTTTGACAATTGTAGTAACATTGTATTTTGAAATACATTTTAGGACAAGCTTGTCAATTTCTCACAAAAAAGTCTACTGAGACTTTAATTAGTATTTCCTTGAACTTACAGATCAATTTAGAAGAATGGACATACTGAATCTCCAGTCTATGAACATGGTTTATCTCTTCATTTATTTAGGGCTTTAATTTTGCTCAGCAATCTTTTATAGTTCTCATGTTTTGCATATATTTTGTTACATTTTCCTAAATGTTTCATGTTTTAATTCCATCGTTCATTGTATTCTAAAGTTTCATTTTAGTAATTTCATTTTTTTCCATTTGCTAGTATATAAAAATACAATTGATTTTTGTATATTGGCCTTATGTCCTGTGACCTTGCTGATGTCACTAATTAATTTTAGTAGTGTTTTTGTAGATTCCAGAAGGGTTTCTATGTAGACCCTTATATCGCCTGCATATAAAAACAGATTTTTATTCCTCTTTTCCAGATTATGCCTTTTATTTATTTTTCTGGCCTTATTATACTGGTAAGACTTTTACTACGATGTTAAATAGAAATGACGGGAGTAGACATCTGTGCATTATTCCATGTCTTAGAGGAAAAGGTTTAATGATTTACTACTGAATATATTAACTACAGGTTTTCCATAGATATTCTTTATCAAACTAAGTTCCTTTGCAAATCTAGCTTCTTTGAAGTTTTTAATCAAATGATTAGTGCTATCAAAATTTTTTATGCTTATTGAGATGATCATATAATTTTTCTACTTTATTCTGAATGTGTGGATTATATTGAATGATTTTGAATGTTAAAAGCCAAATTGGCATAAACCCCTTGGTCATGAAGTATTAGCCTTTGTGTATATTGCTGAATGTGATTCGTTAAAATTTTGTTAGGTTTTTGCCTATATTTTAAGGGATATTGAGCTATGATTTTCTTTTGTTGTAGCATGCTTGGCAGATTTTGGTATTAGCATGATGCTAGAGTCATAAAATAAGTTGAGGGTGATTTCTCCTCCTCTATTTTGGGGGAGAGTGTGTATTATTAGTATTATTTCCATTCAGTATAAGTGCATATTTTTTAGTGTTTTTAAATCTCCTCTATTAACCTATTCTGTGTCTTGTGTGAGTTCGTGTGGCTTTTCTAGAAATTACACTATACAACCTTAATATATCTATTATCATAAACAATGTAAAATATTACAGCAGTGTAATTTCCTTAACCCTCTCTCCTGCCCCTTATACTCTTGCTGTTATATATTCTATTTCTATGTATAATATAACACTACAATACATTGTCATTATTTTTGCCTAAACAGTCAGTAGTGACTTTATTTATTTTATTTTATTTTGAGTCAGGGTCTCACCCTGTTGCCCGGGCTGGAGTACAGTGGCACGACCATGGCTCACCACAGCCTTGTCCTTCTGGACTCAGGCAATTTATTTTTGTGATTAAAAATTAACAATATTTACCATCTTAATTAATTTAAAAAAAATTTTTTTTGAGTTGGAGTCTCACTCCGCTGCCCAGGCTAGAGTGCAGTGGCATGCTCACGGGCACCCCAGTATCAACCTGCTGGGCTCAGGTGATCCTTCCCCCTCAGCCTTCCAAGTAGCCAGAACACAGGCATATACTACCTCACCCAGCTAATTGTTTTATTTATTGTAGAGATGAGGTCTTGTGAGGTTGCCCAGGCTATTTTTGAACCCATGGACTCAGGCAGTCCTCTCACCTCAACCTCCCAAAGTGCTGGGATTACAGACTTGAGCCACTGCGCCCAACCACCATCTTAATTATTTTTAAGTGTACAGTTCAGCAGTGTTGAGTCTATTCATGTAAGTCAGTAGTGCTTTTAACTAGGTATACAATAATATATATTCAACCCAGGAATTTTTGAATTGACTGTGCTCTCCCACCCCAATTCTTATGTTAGAATCTTAACCTCCAATGTGAGATGTGCTTTGGGAGGTAATGAGGTCAGGAGAGTGGAACCCTCATGTATGAATTTAGCACCTTGTAAAGGAGCCCCAGAGAACTCTCTA